TTTCTAATAGTCTAATCTTTTGAAGCATAGAAGAATGTATTGCATGAGAAGCGCATATAAATTATTTTTACCTGGAAGGTCCGCTTCTTCTTTTTGTACTGTGGCGGAAAATGGTCCGTAGAAACTTGTTAAACAGTTGTTTTTGATGTATTTGACTTTCCTAAATACACATTGAAAGGAACTAATCAATCATACATCAAATATTTAACAGCATGAGGATTTTCTTTAAGTGGCTGGTGTTTGGGTTCTCTTTACATGGGATCAGATAATTGTACTCTTGAATGATCCTTCTGTTTCCCCATTATGAAAACAATTATACTTTGTTGCTCATGTGGAACAGCGTTCTGAAATAATTTTCTTTTCATTAGGCTCATCTGGACAACTCATTGTCAAAATAAAAGTGATCTGAATAGAAAGGAGAAATGTGCAAATACTTTACAAGTTAAACCAAAAACTCAAATGTTTGACTCAAATCTGATCTATATTATGATTGGGAACATGGTGTAAACACTGGCCCATGCAGTGTCACCCTTTGGGCATTGTCTTAGCTTACTACTGGCTCCAGATAATACAGAGTCAGGCAAAATGATCTGACACATTTGTAGGTGAAATAAAAGGCAACTAAAGTAAAGAGACAAAAAAGTGTTTTTATTTTCGAAAAGTACATATAATGCCATTCTGTTTCATTATGTTTTAAAAAATAAATCAGTCAAATGGGACACTGTCGAAGGTGCTCACGAAAGTTGTCTATAACTCGGCGGGTCATTTCATGTGTAATGGCGGTAATTTCTTGACGAATTGCATCTTTAAGTTCTTCAATAGATCGAGGGCGATTAATTCAATTAAAACCTTTGACTTGAGGTATCCCCAAAGACAAAAAACGGACGGATTTAAATCAGGTGAATGGGCGGGCCAACCAATGTCACCACGCAATGAGATCAAATGACCATCTCCCTCAAAATCCCCAAGGCACGTCGAGAAGTGTGGGCTGATGCCCCCATCCTGTTGAAACCAAACATTGTCCATATCGTGGAACATATTCAATTTTGGTCTGAGAAAAGTCTCTAGCATCTCACAATATCGATCAGAGTTCACAGTCACTGTTACGTCTTCTTCGAAGAAGTACAGACCACATATACAAAAAAAAAAGGCATTACAGTATATGTACTTTTCGAAAATAACAACTCTTTTTTGTTTCTTGACTTTATTTGCCTTTTATTTAACCTAAAAAAGTGTCAGATCATTTTGCCTGACCCTGTAGTTTAGAGTCGACATTCATATGCATCGTCTGATCTGATTGCTTGAGAAATGTGCTACTTTTGCTTGACTATCTGTCTCTTTCTATTTCTACTTGTCGGATTGCATTCTTAAAAGTAAACATGAAGATAAGCATGTATTGAACTGTGGAATACTGTTTTATATAGATGTCAGTCATGATTGTAATGTTTTTGTTTTTCTTTAAGAATAATGCCCTAAATGGGTGGCTCGGTGATCCAGTGGTGAGCGCATCAACCTCACAGTGTGAAGGTCATGGGTTCGATCCCGGCTCCGGCCTTCCTGTATGGAGTTTGCATGTTCTCCCCGTGCTTACATGGGATAAGCAGATCAGAAAATGGATAGATGGGAAAGATGGATGTATATACCATAAATGCATTTCCGATCCGCTTATCCTCACAAGGGTCGCGGGGGTGCTGGTGCCTATCCCAGCTGTCTTTGGGCAGTAGGCGGGGGACACCGTAAACCGGTTGCCAGCCAATTGCAAGGCACACAGAGACGAACAACTCTCGGCGCTCACACTCACACCTAGGGACAATTTAGAATGTTCAATCAGCCTGCCATGCATGTTTTTGGAATGTGGGAGGAAACCGGAGTACCCAGAGAAAACCCCGCAGGCCGGGGGAGAACATGCAAACTCCACACAGGGAGGCCAGAGCTGTAATTGAACCTGGTTCTTCTGCACTGTGAGGTCGACGCACTAACCACTGGACCACCGGGCTGCCTCTCCTGTAAATGCCTTACATGGAAAAAACCCTGCCCCATTTATGGATAGACAATTTTGCTATTTACCAGAATGAGACATGACTGTTACCTGTGAACTTATGTTGCATGCACTCTTGAACTGAACAAAGACTGAGGAAAGCCATCAGTGAACAATCATGAATGCTAGGTACCTGGAACAGGGAGACCTTTTTTATGTCATGTGTGCGTGACTTAAAACATGCGCTCACAAGATATATAAATTGCAAATTACACTTTGTGTACGGTATCTTGCGAGCACAAGTTGCACACACGTCTTATACAGCACAAGAGATACTCGATTTAATACGCGGCTGCACACGTCAGTCCTCCTCCTCATCCATTCTCGGTTTGATCACATTCGGACTCATCCAATACAGTGAGGTAAAATATTTGCACGTCTTAACTGGAGCTTCTCGATTTCCATGACCTCCAAGTGTGAACCAAACAGGGACTGATGAAGAGTTGGAAGCATGGTCCATTC